ATCATCCAAGGCAAGGCAAGTTTATTTGTATAGCACAATTCATACACAAGGCAATTCAAAGTGCTGAACAAAACAAGAAAGCATTAAAATCATAAATAATCGCAGAACATTAAAAAGAAAGATAAAAGTATAAAATCCCTCAGTTGTATGCACAGTTAAACAGAACCGTCTTTAACCTGGTTTTAAACATTGTCAGAGAGGAGGCCTGTCTCACATCTTCAGGAAGACTGTTCCAGATTTTAGCAGCACAAATCTGAAAAGCAGCCTCCCCATGTTTAGTTCTGACTCTGGGCACTAACAGGAGTCCAGTCCCTGTGCTCCTCAGAGTCCGGGCTGGTTCATATGGGACTAACATGTCACTAATATATTTTGGTGCGAGGCCATGGAGAGACTTGTACACAAGCAGAGCTGTTTTAAAGTCTATTCTCCACATGACATTCTGTTGTGACTGGTCAGTATTATTTGTGCCTTCGTCTGTTGTTTTTTTTTAAAGGTACTCTGTAATTTTTACAGCTGATCCAAATGAAAATACATGTTAAAAAAGGATGCGAGAATTGCGTTTTCGTTTTACAAGTGAAACGAAAACTAAAATATTAAAGTAAATATTATGTAACAATCTAAAAACAAAACTTGTCACCAAACATGTCAAAATCGCAAACACACGCACTGAAAGGCAGAGTTAAAACAATAGGATGCACACTTCTGTAGTTTTTGCACACGTGAACAATACAAAACACCGACATTAATGAGAACGAATTTGACCCGCTCTGTGCACAATCTATGTCCACAAGTTTCAGATAAACTTATCCAAGGGACAAGCCTCAAATGTGCAAAATAATCACCAAAAAGGTTTATCAACAGTGTGAGTTTGAATGTTCTGTTTTCTTACCTGGTGATGCAGATGCAGGGCCTGGTGAGAGCTATTCATCTGAGCTTTCAGCCACAGTTATGCCACGACTGTGTCTTGATCTCTTCTGATTAGAGCTGAAACAACTAATCGATTTAATCGATTAAAATCGATTATTAAAATAGTTGTCAACTAATTTAGTCATCGATTAGTTGCTAAATAACTTTTATTTTGCCGTAAGCGGCTCATTTCGTGCATATTTTAACTCTGCGGTGACCAAATGGTGGCAGTAATGAGCCACCGGAGGTTTTACAGCAGGAGAAGTAGCGAATAGCCAATAGCTGGCCTCCTTTTATGTCACATGCTTCGCGCACAGCTTCTCTTCAGCATACAGCAAGATGGCGGAGGCAAGCGGAGTAAGCTCGAGAAAAAAAAGGAAAAAAGCAGAAGACAAACCTAATCGAACGAAGTCATCCAAAGTGTGGGAGCACTTTACTTTGAACCTTCAAAAAAGAAGAGTAACCTGTAAACTCTGCGCTACTGACTTGGCCTGGCACGGGAGTACTACGTCTCTGCGTGAGCACCTTAAACCATCTCTCTGCAGTACTGACTGTTTGCAAAAGATGGCGCCACACTCACTGTTTTAGGCATAAAGTTGATCTTTCAAATAATTTGCACAAAGATGTAAAAAAAAAAAACATTTATCAGTTTATCAACTTAAATAAGCCTTGTTCGGGATTTTAAACTACTTCAGAAGCCCTAAGGATTTTCATGGTGAAAACATTATTGGAAATCTCCTTGTGAAATTTGCTAGAGTATGTAACGGTCAGTGTTTTGTTTTGATGGTCAACATTGAGTTCACTAAAGGATTACAAAGACATAATAAACAGCTCCAGTTAAGTTTTTGATGTGGATATGAATATGTAAAATGGTTAAAATCTCTAAAAAGTCTATGTTGAATGATGAAGGCCCTTTGTTAACAATTTACTTGGAAAAAAATTGGCAAAACTAAAATATAAGTACATAAACCGATTAATCGATTAATCGTAAAAATAATCGCCTGATTAATCGATTATCTAAATAATCGTTAGTTGCAGCCCTACTTCTGATCTTCAGACACTCGTGCCGGCTGACGCATGCACAAGTGTGTTTTTTCAACATTTTCCTGCCCCGTGACTATATTGAAACTGCCCATCGAAGGTGAAAGTGGTGGCACTTTAGTTTCAACGGCAGAGATAGGCGTGACTATGTCCATTTAATATTTACAGTCTATGTTCACAACACTGACTTTTTACATGTCCGTCTTTGCACACAATAGTGTATGGAGAGATCCGGTCATTTGTAGGGATGCTAACACGGGGTGGAGTGATGCTAACACAGGGGTGATGTGCTCCTTCTGTTTAGTGTATAATTTAAACTATTCCAGCACACATACTGTTTGACTTCTGTCTTCATCACTGCTTCTGCCTCAGCTCATTGTGAGACCACAGAGTGACTTCGACACTTTTGTCTTTTTGTCCAGACTTTGCAGATATCTCGTTGCGGAGTCTTTACTTCGGTCCAAACATCAGCCGACGGACTTCAGAATCTGCAGGTGAGACATTTGACACGCCTCCAAACAGTCCCAACAGATAGACTTATCAGACAAACTTCTCAGCCAGAAGGGAGAGCGCCCCACAATTAAATCTATGGACACGGTCACATTGATTTTCACGAACGAACTAGAGCAAGCAGCTCGGAACAATGCCACAGGGGTGCGAAGACGGCCCGTGGTCAGAAGGGTTTATTTTTTTAACCATGCCAGCCCAAATACTCTGTAGTACAACGCTCAGTCCAGCTGGTGGCGCTTATACTAACTTCAGAAACTACCTCGGGATCCAAGTTAAGTTTACGTTTCTCTTCCTGTTTACACTCAGCGACTGGCCAATCATGGCGCCAACCAACTCCAGGATGGATTGCGTTCTTTGCAATCAGAGTAGATGTGAACAAGTGTGGGATGTGTCTTTCTACAATGTGCAGAATGTGAAGGTACGCAGCTGGAGGTAGGGACGTAGCGCTGGGCAATATGGAGAAGAAAACAATCTCTAATATATATATATAGTTTTTTAGATATCTCGATATACGATGTAAAACAATATTTTTCAGGATAGATAACCCTCCATAAACTACTGCCAGAAACAAAAAAACATGCCAATTTCCAAAATATTTTTTCATTGAACCTCAAGTAGGAGTCAATTCAAGTAGGAACAAAATGTTTCCGTCACTTTTGTTTTAATTTCCTGTTTTTGAAGAAATTATACATATTGTCTTCTCTTCATTCAAAAATAAAGCGACTCAATGTGCATGTAGGAAAAAAGTGCTTCTGCAACATTTAAGGTAAAACCTAGATTACATTAATAGTAAGTACCTTGTGGGGTAAGTCCTGGGAGTTCTTGTATCGCAAAGTAATGCCTCGACTCTAATCTGTGGTGAGACACCTCACTCTGTTATCGAAGAACCGGGGTTATGTTAATTAACCTTAAGTTTATTCGTGATGTAATGTGCCCAATATCACGTCCCCACCACACTTCACCCAATCACTCCCCACCACTCACCACATTGATACCCCCCCCCACCCCCATCATCTGGGCACGGTTGCAGCGAGAGCCCCGAGAGCCCCATCACATTAGCCGCTAGGGCTACACAATGTTGGAAATTCGATATGAGTGTATTGCGATAACAATATTATTGTGATTTTTTTTTTTTTTTTTTTCTTTCACCTAAAATTGCAATCTGCATTTAAACCTGCACAAATAACAAAAACATTAATGACATTCAAATGCATATATTTATATACTTTTTGTTTGTTTGTCGTATTTGTTGAATGTTGATATGTCTGTCTGTTTTGTTGTCTTTGATGAAGGAAAAATATGTTTAAATAAATTATCGCGCATATTTTTGATATGGATATCGCACGCACCAATATCGCGATAACAATATTTTGCAGCCCTATTAGCCGCGTTTCCACCGCAGAAACAACGGGTAATTTTCCAGGGCCAGCCTCGTTGGTGCGTGTCCCCACGGGGATTCATCACACTTCAAAACAAGCCGTGCAAAGTTTTAAACTGAAGCAGGACTATAAAAAACTCAAAGACCACAACTGCAGCGGTTACCACCGTGAGATAAATAAATGACCTCACTGAGGGGTCCTACTCTGTAGTGGAGACGCCCACTGAGAGGACCGAGGGAGAGGATGGTTCCTGTAAAAGTTCCACCCCGCTCCTTTTACCAGGAACTCCTGCGGTGGAAACGCAGCTATTAGTCCGGTCTCGGGTCTCTGCGCTGGCATCCTGTGTACAAGCCTCTCCATGGCCTCGTACCAAACTACATCTGTGAACGTAACCCCCACAACAAAAAGGGGACCAGTGTGTGTCAATAATGGGATAGTTTGTTTGAGCCCGAACATAAGCAATATTGTTACAAAGTTTATATTTGGGTTTACTAGAAAACAGGATGAAGAGGTCCTTTATTCGTCCCACAGTGGGGAAATGTCAGTGTGGCATCACCAATTACCGAACAGGAATGAGGATAAGTGAACAAGAACTATACTAAAATAAGAAATCTTACTTTAGCAATGATAAAGAAGCAAGTATAAAAACGGTGTATAGCTGTATGAAAGCTCACACTGATTCTAATGTGATTGTTGTAACTGGAGCAGACACACTTTGGTATCCAACATTACAACTATTTTTTTTCTCATTCCGCTCAAAAACGCTGGTATCGGTACAAAGACCTTTTTCTCTCATTTAAACTATTCAGGCAGAATCCAGGTGTTTTCTTGATGTGATAATACAATCCTGAACTCTAAAACGTCATGTGTTGCTGTCTCTTCAGGATCCATGAACGAACAGAGGACAGAAGAGGAAAGATCCACTGAACTGTTGGAGCGAACTCTGATCTGAACCAGAGCGACACATGGACCTCCTCACAGTGACTCTGCAGACTCGCCATGGAGCGTTTATGAACCGTTTGATACGCCGACAGCAGCTCTCCAGGCCTTCTCCATCCGCTCAGTGCTAGTTGTGATGATTCTATGAACTCAGCTCGGCCTGTTGCTTTGATCAGGGCTCAGAGTGTGTGAGAGCGGTGCCTGCAGAGCCTGCAGCACAGGGACATGTTCCAGTTCAGTAAATACCCCATGGACATTTTAGAGATGCTCAGTGGACACCAGGCGCACCAGTTCAAGGGGCTGGGGCTGGAGCGGCAGCTCGGGCACCAGCAGCAGCTCCCGCACCAGGGCCAGCTCCAGGCGCAGCACCCGCCCTCCTCTGAAGCCCCTGGGGGCCTGCTGTCGGGGCTGGGCCTCAGCTCGCTGCAGTCGCCTCGCACGAACGCCTTCGCAGACTCCTCTTCACTCTTTGCCAAAATGAGTGCGCCTCCTCCCCCCATTTCTCACCTGCAGAGCACGTCCTCCTCCTCCCACAGGAAGTCCAAACACAGCAGCAGCAGTGGCACCTCCTCCTCGGGGTACCCTCAGTTTCTGCGCCCCTTCCACCCCGCAGAGGCACTGGCTCAGGAGCAGCTGCACTCGGGCATGGGCCGCTTCGACTTTGGAGGTGGCTCCAGTGTCTCAGCTGCTCCTCCTCCTCCTCCACTTCACCCTGGGATCCCTGTGCCTCACTCCTCCCCCGGTCCACCCACCTCCTCCCCCTCTGCCTCCACCTCAGTGTCTGTGTCCAACAACCCCTCGGGCGGCCCCGCGGTGCCCCTGGTGGGCCAGTCGGACCCTCGCACCCTGCATCAGCAGTTCAGCTGTATGCTAGCAGCTAACCAGTACTTCCTGTCAGGTGTGCCGGCCAACAGCAGTCTGGAGCAGTTCCTGGTACAGCAGGGCTCCCATCCTCCTCTGGGGCTGGGGCTCAGTCAGACCTCTGAGGCTAACGCTCCTCTGGCTCCGCCCCCTGCTCTTCACTCGTCTCATGGACACAGCGCCGCGCAGCCGCAGCAGCAGCTGGCTCCACACTCAATCAGCCACAGCCACCATCCCCTACATCCCGCCCCCCAGCCCAATGCTCTGGGCGGCTTCGACTTCCAGGGAATCCCCGTCCTGTCGTCCAATCAGATTGCCTCGCTCATGCAGCAGGAGGCCAGCATCCCCGTCCCCCTGCCCCTGCACCTGTCCCTCTCCAAAGACCAGGAGTCAAAGTCTGGAGACTCCACAGCGTCCTCTAGTGGCGGCAGTCGCAGGAAGAAGGCAATGGCCGGATATCTGCCCCAGAGAAAAGCAGAGCCTCACTCTCAGAGCAATAATGTCCTGAACTGTCACGACAGTAGCAGCAGCGGCCACAGTCAGAGCTCTGTGCTGGTGGGAGGACCAGGAGTCATGGAGCCCCAACACAACCCCCTCCTGTCTCCATCTACATCCTCCACAGTCTCCTCCTCCCCCTCTGTCCCCCCCCCCTCCTCACACATAGCCAACGGTAGCCTCCAGTCCAAACCCAGAGAAAGCCAAAGCAGCTCATCGGGGCCTCCTGAGCCGGAGCCTCTGTATCACTGTGGAGAGTGCGGGAAGACCTTCACACACCTATCCAGCCTCAGGAGACACCTGCGCAGCCACGGCCTCAGCACCGACGCCCAGAGCAGCAAACCCGACTGCAGCTCGCCCAGCCCTGAGCGGGTCTTCAGCTGCGGAGAGTGTGGTAAAAGGTTCAAGAAGAGAGGCCACCTACTGCAGCACAGTGTCACACACTCGGAGAACCGGCCCTTCATCTGCAGCATCTGCCAGAAGTCCTTCAACCGCAGAGAGTCGCTGACGCGCCACGAGAAGATCCACGACGAGAAGCCGTTCAGATGCCCCGCCTGCGGCCGCTGCTTCAGGGAGAGCACCTCTCTGCTCAACCACGCCGCCTCCGGAGCCTGCGGTAAACCTCCCCGCGTCTCCAAACCCAAGAGCAGCTGCAGCGAGGCGGGACGCTCAAATCAGAGTGTGAAGAGAGAACGAGGGGAGCGGGCGCGAGTGTCCAACGAGTCCATGCACGTGTCCAATGATAAATATGCCTCAGACTTCTCGAGGGGGCGCTATCACAACCAACCCTACAGCACGGTGGACTATAGCAGGACGCAGTACCCTGACAGAACAGCCGCCGACATGACCAATCAGACGCTCCGCAAGGCCCCGCTCGCCCCCACCCTACACCCCCAGAGCCAGCAGACTCAGCACCTCCCTCCCCCTCAGCAGCACCTGCCTCCCCCTCAGCCACAGCCACATCTGCCCCTGTCCTCTCTGCTGGACGACTCTGAGGACGAGGTTACCAGTAGCGCCATGTCAGCCATTGCGGCGGCTGCAGCTGCCTCCTGCGGCATGAACGGAGAGGAGCGAGAGGAGAGGCGTGACATCATCGGGGGTCTGCTGGGAGGACTGGGCTTCGGGAACCTGGGCCCCTCCTCCACAGTGAACGGAGCCACATTGCCTTTAACTCACGCCGGCTCAGCCCAGGCCAAAGCCCGCCGGCCGCGCAAGGCCCGAGAGAAGGGGGAGGGGTCAGTGGTGAGGCGGCGGCGCAGCCCTCTGCCTCCCAGCGACAGCAGCGAGCGCCCGTACAGCTGCCAGATCTGTGGCAAGAGCTTCAGGCGTGCAGAGACACTGCGGCGTCATCACCGCATCCACACGGGAGAGAAGCCACACACCTGCGACATCTGCGGGAAACACTTCAGAGAGCCCTTCCACCTCACCAAGCACCTGACCGTGCACTCGGGCCTCAAGAACTATAAGTGTAACCTGTGCGGCAAGCTGTTTGCCTACGCACAGAGTCTGGTGCGCCACGGCAAGCTTCACCGCCGCGGGGAGATAGACGCACAGGGCCGCCGTGTCAAAGGAGCCGGCACTCTAAACAAAGTGAACTCTGAGAACTCTGAGTTCTACTCGTCCTGCTCTCAGGAGGACAAGTCCCCGACCTCCGGAACGCCCACGCAGCGCATCTACACCTGCACCGTGTGCTGGAAGTCCTTCAGACACTACTTCCACCTAACGGCACACACGCAGACGGTGCACGGTGGCGGCGTGGGGTTGGAGAAGAACTACCGATGTGAGGTCTGTGGCAAAGCCTTCGCTTACTCAAACAGCCTGGTGCGCCACAAACTGTCCCAGCACGGCATGGACCGCAGCGGCCACAAGCTCAGCCAGGCACCGCCACACACAGGCTTCTCCTCTCTATACTACGACTCTGGCTCTGCAGCCACGTACGCTGGGACGTCCCACATGCAGCAGCCCACAGCACAACCACTGCAGCATGCCTTCCACTACCACAAAGACTCTGCGCACAGGACGAAGAGGAGGAGGAAGAGGCGCGTGGTCATCAACAGCATCATGCGCGACGGGAAGCTGGTGGGCGTTCCTTTGAGCAAAGATACGGAGAGGAAGCTGCTGCAGCTGCGCAGGAGGCGAGGAAAGATCCAGGCCCAGATCAACCGGAGGAGGCTGATCGCTCAGCTGCGCGGTCGACGAGATGGGCTCCTTAGGGCCACCTGGTGGAGAGGAGGCGTAGTGAAGGTTTCTGGACTGAACTCTATGCTGGTGCCGCTCAGACACTTCCCCTGCCCCATGTGCTCATGCTGTGTGTTCTCCAGAGCAGGACAGCTGCGGCTGCACTACGCACTCAGGCACCGGCCTCAGAGTGGCTCGCGGCTGCTGTGTACGGTGTGTGGGCGCCGCTCTCGCTCTCTGTGCTCTGCCCTCAAACACCGCTCCTCACACCTGCAGCAGAGCTCCTCCCAGTGCCTCAAGTGTGCGCACCGCTTCTGGAGCCCACGCCTCCTGGTGCGGCACCAGTCCTGCTGCCGCCGGGCGCCGCGCAGCCTCCACCACCACACGCCTGCGTCTGTGCCACAACGGAGCGCCCACCACCACACGCCTGCGTCTGTGCCACAGCGGAGCGCCCACCACCACACGCCTGCGGCTGTGCCACAGCGGAGCGCCCACCACCACACGCCTGCGGCTGTGCCACAGCGGAGCGCCCATCATCACACGCCTGCGGCTGTGCCACAGCGGAGCGCCCACCACCACACGCCTGCGGCTGTGCCACAGCGGAGCGCCCACCATCACACGCCTGCGGCTGTGCCACAGCTCATCCCTGTAGACCGAGCAGACAGAGCCTACGCTCAGTAACTGAGACCCACAGAGGCCGAGCACAGAGCCCTCACTGGACAGTGGACCCACGGTCTCCAGACGTTAGCGTTAGCTGGATGGTCAAAGCCAAACGCGTCAGCGCCCAAGGGAAGCCGCATCAAAGACTTTATTTCTTTTATATCTTTAGCAGCATTTCAGTATTTATTCATAAAGCCGACTGTAGACTTGAGGATTATTTTAGATTATTCACAGAACGTTTGTCCCTTTGTTTCATAAAAAGCTCTTCCTGGTTGTGAATGATAGCCGTCTTAAAGCTGGGGTACCTGTTCCACCTGGCGTTGTCACTGACCAGTCAGGTCCCAGCCCAAAGAGGCATTTAGTGACTCATGCGGCTCTTCCTTATAAGTATGCAATATGTATCAAATGTTTTCTTTTATGTGGAGCCGACTCATTTTGACCCAAAGTCCTGAGTTTGAAGTCGGTACCTCAGCTTTAGGATCCTGTGTTTGGACTCGTGATCTGAGCCTGATCCAGAGAATAAGGACTGTCTGTAACAACTTATATTTTAGTGTGTTTGGTTTTATACACTCGTTTTTGGTGTCGTCGGTGTCGTCAGGGCTGGGTTTGTATCGGGGACTGTGTATGTGATATTTTCTGCAGTTTTTTGTAATGACGTGTTCCACATAGTTTATACTTGGGTCCTGTCCTCGTGTTGTTCTTCCCTGTTGAACTAAATCATGTATTATTACTGAGTACTATCCATTTCTCTACATAAAGTGAGTTGTTGACCGCTAAAATCAAATAAAAAAAAAACCTCAAGTGTTTTCACAACTTTTGCTGGATTACATGTACTCTGTAAGTAACAAACTATTCTCCAAATGTACTTTTACTCGATCTTGTGAAGTAATAATGGCTTGTGTTTTCAACTCAAATTAATTGTGCATTGACCCTAAACCACAACACCCAGAGGATTTTACAATGTTGTGGATTCGCTAACACAGATCAGAGAATCAAACAGTTCCTACAGATGTACTGATGAAAACATACATAGAGCTGTTGGTCCATGGGAGGAAGAGGCCAATGGTAATAAATAATCAATTACACATATTATTGATGGATATTTCAAATGGTTAGTTTCACATGTATTCAACTATTGTCACTTTTTCCACCAACTCCTGCCTGCTTCTGTCTCCATTAGACTTACTCGTATCTGGTAATGTACTCTATAGAAATAAATCTATATCTGTTAAAATTCCTTGGTAACCGCGGCTTCTGGCTGCACTCTGGCCAATCACTGTCAAACACTTAAGTAACAGCTCGGCCTGGATAAAACTAGGACCAAGAAGGACCTGGTACTGGTTACACATGGACAAATGGACACACCACTCTGGGTGGAGTAGAGAGGATTAGGCTGGAGTAGGGCCAAGATGGGCTGGTGGAAATGGGGCTTCAGTGCATTATGGTAAATATAATCAGAGGTGTAATTTCCTTCCTTGGTTCTGCAACACTAGAAAAGTCCCATCACAGCGTTGCAGCACATTACACAACAAGCTTTGTATCTTGTTTTGGCACTAAATATTAAGAGACTGACTTATATCTTCACTATCAACGCAATAGAGCTCAGAGAGAGACCTGAGAAAGCGAGGCTGAAGAAGAAAAAATCTAGGGAAAAATAATACCAAATAGAGCAAAAAGCATTAGTCACATTACCCAAGTTTTTCTACACATTACCTAAGGTTCTCTCATCTTAAAAATGTGTGAGGTATATAGCAATAACAATGTTTACAATTAATTTCTGCCTCAAAACACGAATATATCACCTACTCATACCAATGTGATCTATGCTTTTACCAACGTTACTGTCCCCTTGTAGTACTCTCACTCGTCCACAAGATGGCGCCACACCCACGCTCATGTTAACTTTGATGGAGACGTGTTGAGTTCTCTTCAGTTTATGGAAAAGCAAACGTGCTGGTAAATCCACTGCGCCACTCTCTGTTTCAGCTCTGACACAAGACCCACGAGCAAAACAAAACACAATTGATATTATTTGAATCAGAAAAATGTACTGTCCACTCTGTTTCAGTTCATGTATAGCTTTTGTGCAAACAGCTGTATCCTATATTATTTCATTTTATTCCGCTTTATCCGTTGCCGGGTCGCAGGGGGTAGCCCTGTTCTTCTTCTTTAGTCCCTCTTGGTCCTGGTTCTATCCGGGCCGAACCGGTACTTGTGAGTGCTGCTGGAAGCCATGGTTATCAAGGAATTTCAGGGGTTACTGGTTTGTTGTGGGTAGGTTAAGGTTTGCTAGGATTCAGTACCAGATACTACAGTGTAATGGAAACACAACCGAGGAGGGTAGAGTGGGGCTGGTGGAAACAGGGCAGTGGTCCCTGTGTCTTGGGTCTTCTGCTGTTCTCAACTTGTTGCTCTCTATGTGGAGAAGCAGCGGCTCTACTCCGAGCTTCTCCTGTATGACTGAGCCAGACTGGTTGCCTCACTTCTGTCAGTGTGCCCCAGGGCAGCTGTGGCTACAGTAGTAGTTTATCACCACTGTGTTTAGTTAATGACATGTGAAGCGTTTGTGAGCGTCCTGCAGAAAACTATGCATTCTTATTATTATTAAACTTTATTACAGACACGAAGTCCAGATAAAGACATTACACAAAAACAATAATAATCATAAAAATAAGCATACATGATTACAACAGATTACTGTACCAGTGACGCCACAGTTCAGTCTGATAGCGTGTGGCACTATTATTATTGAGTGAGCGGATTAGTTTTGTCCAAAAAACTACTAGGAACTGCAACTTTCTGAATGGACTATGTACCAGGAACTAGACCCATGGTACCAGGTCCTTCTTGTTCCTGGTTGTACACATAATTACACATTTGAATGAAGTGCTCTGCTCCAGCTCTGCCTTCATAAAACTGCAGAGACTCAGAGACAACAGCAAACTCCACAGGCTTTAAGATAAATGTCAGTGTAGCATCACCAGAAACAGAACAGTAGGGATGAAGAGCACACAGCATAAAACCATAACAATAACTCTAGTCTAGACTCAAATACAATCTATAGCTTTAGCATAATAAAGAAGCAAGAATAAAATCAGTATGCTTTAGCACAGTAATCAGAATCATTTTAATTGTCATGTACGTAACAGGAAGTCACAGACTGGGAATTTGCTTTGGCTCTCGGGGTAACAGTCACGGAAGAGAGATATAGAGAATAAAAAAGCAAGTATAAAATCTCAAGCTTTAGCATAATAAAAAAGAAAATATACAATCTAACTTTTGCATTGTAAAAAAAAAAGCAAGTAAAACCTCTCTAGCTGTAGCATTTAGAAGCATTTAAAATACTGTATATTCTAGTGCAACAAATATACAGTTGAATATTGCACATTCTGACAGTGTCCAGATGATTATTGCACAGAGAAGAGGATGACATCTGACACATGCGGTTGTTGTGATCGTCCTCTCGCTGCAGATTGAGACGCTCCCGGTCCCTCCTGGTCCCTCCCCACCTCAGAGCGCACTGGGTTTGTTTACTGATGACATGAGGTGAAGCTGTAATCCACGCGTCCCTGCTGCGCGTGCCCTGGCCGTCACGCGGATCTCGCATGGGGGAAAACCTCTGGGCGGGGCCTATGACCTAATTTAAGCCAATGGGAGCGAGGCAGAGGCAGCGACTGACCTAGATTCAGCCAATCAGGAGGCAGCGCTGGCGCCGGTGGGCAGGAGCGTCCCCGTGCAAGTGCCATGTGCTTGTTCTCCAGGAGGCAGAGACGGAGACAGGTCGTTAAAACTGTGAATCACACTCCTGCATACAGCCAGAGCAGTCATATTGACGGGTCCCATTCAAAGTAATAGAAAAAACCAAACACAAATAGCAGTTTTAGTTTCTCACTACTTTGATTGAAATTGAGTGATTCATACGGTTTTAATAATTAATGCAATTGAAATACAGCATCTGTGGTCTCTCTCCTTCTGGGCTCTCTAGTCTCTCTCTCTGGTCTACCTTTCAAAACATAATTACATTCAAGCAGAGTAATTACACTTCCATAGCGAAAGCCGTCAAATTGACTGCTCTGGGAGTTCTAGGGTTAAGGCACTATTTGGCAGTGAGAACCCAGAGGTGTTTATTGGAGAGCTGGCCCGAGCATTACGCGCCCATTACGCGCGGCTGTGGTGGCCTTGTTGCCTTGTTGCCTTGTGTTTGCATAGTCTCGGGTTTGCAGACATGTCAGTGCATCATCCACATGTGATACAGCGCGGTTTGGAGCTGATGCGGGTTTGTTGTTGCACTGACAGCGTGAGAGAAGCAGGGAAGAAGGCGGGAGAAGCAGGGAAGCCGCCAGATGAACGGGGCGGGGACGCAGGGCATTGGCTGCGCGCGTAAAGAGGTGATGCATAGTAATGAGGCGCTCCAGGCTCCTGCAGGGAGAGCTGAGGCAGGGCTCACACTGCACACTCTATTCCTATGTGTTTTTCATAGACATTTGACTGACAAAGCAGCTATTTTTATGCTTTAGTTCTCTACCACATGGCACAGTACTTCATATGAGGACAAGGGCCTTCAGGACATGGGTCAGCAGGTTACTGCAGTGTGACTTATGGCTACACACAAACATTTACATTGGATTGAATATGCTTATGTGTTTAGATAAGATAAGATAAGATAATAATTCCTTTATTCGTCCCACAGTGGGGAAATGTTGATGTTGCAGCGCACATATAGGACAGTAGTAAGAGCACACAGGGATCACACACAATATATACACTATATACAAATAAGTAGTACCTATGTTTCTTAGCTAACATAACTAGCTGTAGTTGCTGAAAATGCTTCAATACCAGTCAAAAAATATATATGTGGTAGTGCAGTTATATACTGTACAGTTAAATAGTGCAGGATAAAAAGTATATAAGTAAAGTGACATGAGGTAAAGTGACATTGTTCTGTGACATTCTGAAGTTGCAGTATTGCACATTGCACATGATTTAAGAATTTAGTTAATTACAGATGAATGAAATGTACAGGCTCAGCAGTTCTTATTGTACAGTCTGACAGCAGCAGGAAGGAAAGACCTACGGAACCTCTCCCTCACACAGCGAGGGTGAATTAGTCTGTCACTGAAGCTGCTCTCCAGAGCAGAGAGAGTATCCTGCAGGGGGTGACAGTCATGGTCCAGCATAGATGTTAGTTTGTTCAGGATTGTAGGATTTTTTTTAATTTCTACTTCTTCTGGGGACAGACCTTTAAAACCGTCTGAGATACTCCGTGTGTCTGTCCCAGAATGTTGACCACATCAATGTGAAATGCTATCATACCAATTTATGTTGTTTATTAGTGCAATAAAAAGGTATTTTCTTGTGTATGTCTCATCGCACCAAAGTACGTCTGTGACATGTTAGTGCCTTTTGAACCAACTGGGACTCAGAGGAGCACAGGGACTGACCTCCTGCTGGTGCCAATCAGATTTATGCAGCTAACATCTGGAACAGTCTTCCTGAAAATGTTCAAATCCAGGTTAAAAACAGTTCTGTTTAAATGCTACAAATGAAGGATTTGTATCTTTACTCTTTTTAATGTCCTGTGATTATTTCTTATTTTAATGCCTTGTTTCTATCTTTTGTTTTGTTTTTCAGCACTTTGAGTTGTGTATGACGTGTGCTATACAAATAAACCTGCCTTGCCTATAAATATATAGGTTTGTGAATGATAGGTTATATGGCGCTCACTGTGTGATCTGTTGGATACTTATATATGATTGTGATAAACATGTCACAGCAGTTCAGGCCAAAGTTAATCATTCCCCATCTCTGTCGATGGAAGGGCTGCTTTTTAAAACATTCATATTCCCACCAGTCTGTGAGCCACAGCCGTCATTTTGACTGCTCCCATTCAAACCAAAGTTATTCCAAGAAATTTCCCCAAAGAACGTTTGGTTTTTCGTGGAAAGTTCATTAAAAGAAAGTCATTCATAACTAAGTTGTTTAAACAAGTCCTAAAACTGGTTGTCAAAATTGCAATGTAAATACAGCAAAAAAGGCTAATGCTAATGCTAACGACTGACAGCTAACAGTGTGTTGCTATGGTAACTAGCAAAATTCTCTGGGGGAAAAAGAGATGAAGGCAGAATCAGTCACATTTCAAAAGTAAAATATAATTTAATAACAAAACAAAGGCACAAAAATAAGATGTTATGAAGTTATGAAGAGCAAACGTGTGCATGAGTTAGTTATCACAAATTCCAATACAAAAAGCGGTCAATTTGACTGCTCTGGGAGTTCTAGTCTTACATCTGTCGTGGACTATGGGGGGATTCCAAAAACCTCCAAGAACATACAAGAAACCACTGTCTTTATGAGCGCCGTGTGCGTAAAGTGCCCAAATGTTTACTCCACTCCAGAGAAAGTGCAGGACGGGGGAGGGAGGGGAGGGAGGGGAGGAAGAGGAGGGAGGGGGCGTGCCTCATGTATGCAAATGAACCCCGCCCCCACGGAGCCTTTCCCCGTGAGCGCTGACGTCACGCCCGTGGCCCGTGTTGGTTCCAGCTGACTGACGGTGAGACGCGAGGAGCGAGGCAGAAATCCGAGAGAGAGAAGTGTTTGGGCGAGACAGGGACGCGGGAGCAGAGGGAGCACCGCCGCCATCTCCAACGGATTTATTTTATTTTGGACGCGTTTTCTCATCTCTTCTGTTTGTGCCCATTTCCTCTGGAATAGCCGCTTGTAGTCGCGCTTCTTTTTCGCTCCAGAGGCAGTCCAGACCCGCGCGCGATTGGACCCAGCAGAGGAGTTCAAAGGGACCACCACCAGCACCAGCGCGTCCACAAACTCACCCCAGGATTGTGCTCCTTCCAGGCCGCTTCCAGGATGATTTAAAGCGCTTCTGACCAATGCAAACATGGTTCCACTGTGGAGATAGATCACCGCTCGTGTGTGTGTGCGTGTGCGTGTGTGTGTGTGCGTCTGGTTCCTAGTTTCAGTCATGTCATGTCGAGCTGTCATCTCGACATCTCGTGCGTAAAGTCCAGGCACGGCGCGCCTGTCAATTACTCTCGCTAATTGGATTACGGTGATCTTGAACTTCGACCCCACCAGGTTGCGATCTCTCTCTCCCGCATAGCCCCCTCCTGCTCCCCCCTCCACCACTACCACCTCCTCCACCTCCCCCCTAGTGTTGGAAGAAGTTATGTCAAGGCCTCTCACGCAGCTCCTACCCCCGGATCTTCCAGCAGGGGCCACCAGTCCGAAGTTTGGGGCCGCGAACCCTGCCCTCGCCGGCTCCCAGGGCAGTCCCCTCACGTCTATGACCAGCCTCAAGTCTCTGCTGCAGCTGCCAATCAAAGCCGACTCCAGAGGACCCAAGGACTGCTGCGAGATGAAAGGTGAATGTGTGGATTAAGCAATACACACGGGTTTAATATTGCACCTTGTTTATTATTGCACATAACTATACTCTTCCAAGTTTATATGTCAATCCACTTTCCACATCCAGCTCCTCCCCCTTTCTCCTCTCTCCAATTGGCTTCACGTCACTGCAGCTTTGGTCTGTTTAAAGTGACAGATGAGAATGGCTTTTCTCTTTGAGCATTTATAATTAAGATTTTGAGATCCTCTATTGGTCCCACGGTTTGGAAATGTCAGTGTTGCATCACCAGATACAGAACAGAAAGAATGAGGAGCACATATCACAAGATAAATGAACAATAACTCAAATGTACTAACATAAAATAAAATCTCTAACTGTAGCAACAAAGAAGCACAAAACATGTATACTGTAGTTGTATTCATACCCCTGTACATGTTAACAGCAGAGAGAGACCAGAAAGAGAGAGACCACGGAGAAAGATTGGAGAGAGACCAGAGAGAGAGACCCAAGACACCAGAGAGAGACCAGAGAGAGACCCGAGACACCAGTGAGAAATGAAAGAGAGACCAGAGAGAGACCAGAGGGAGACCAGAGGGAGACCAGAGAGAGACCCAAGACACCAGAGAGAGACCAGAGAGAGACCCGAGACACCAGTGAGAAATGAAAGAGAGACCAGAGAGAGACCAGAGGGAGACCAGAGACAAAAGAGAAAGACCAGAGAGAGACCAGAGACAAAAGAGAGAGACCAGAGAGAGACCCAAGACACCAGAGAGAGACCAGAGAGAGACCCGAGACACCAGTGAGAAATGAAAGAGAGACCAGAGAGAGACCCGAGACACCAGAAAGAGACCAGAGAGAGACCAGAAACAAAAGAGAGAGACCAAAGAGAGAGACCAGAGAAAGACCTGAGACACCAGAGAGAGACCAGAGACAAAAGAGAGAGACCAGAGAGAGAGACCAGAGAGAGACCCGAGACACCAGAGAGACACCAGAGAGAGAGAGACCAGAGAGAGACCCGAGTCACCAGTGAGAAATGAGAGAAAGACCAGAGAGAGACCAGAGAGAGACCAGAGAGAAACCAGAGAGTGACATGACCCAGACTAGAGAGAGACCAGCGAGAGAGACCAGAGAGAGAAACCAGAGAGACCAGAGAGGGACTCAAAGGGACAAAGTGCCTATGTAATGTAACAGTGTAGCTCTATATTGCACATTCTGACAATACTCACTATTGCATCATGTTTATTATTGCACACTTACCCAGCTGTAGCTCTCCTCGCACCCAGCTCCTCCCCCTTTTCTCCTCTCTCCAATCGGCTTCACATCTGAGCAGCTTTGGATCGTTTAAAGTGACAGACGATGGTGATTTTCTCTTAGACTTGGACTGTTTTGTTCTCAATATTTAATCTCGTTTATTGCTTCCATCTCAAATTCAAGCTGTCCTTTTTGAGTCGTACACAGTTGTATGTAAGACCAGGGTTTTGCTGGATGCGGCTTGTCATAATTGAGTCCAAAAACACAGATTTTGTCAAAGATGGAACAGGTTGTGGGAGAAACTGTGTAAGTCCCATCTCAAAGTCAGGGAATTAGAAATATGGTTTAAAAGTCGTGTTAGTCCCAGTTCATGGCTTTGATCTCGTACGGTGGGAGAATGAGAGTCATGCTTCTATTGCACCTCATTGTAGCTATTGCACACTGGTTGGAAAGAGAGAGCCGTGGGAGTCGCCGTGTGCCTCTTTGGGCTGAGAGCTGATTGGCTGCTGCAGGGGCGATCCAGACGCTGCTCTGTGGTGGAGACAGAGAGTGAATATTCTGTGGAGATACTCAAGTCCCTCTCTCTGGTCTCTTTCTAGTCTCTCTCTGGTCTCTCTCTGCATGGTCTCTCTCTGATCTCTCTCTGGTCTCTCTCTGGTCTCTCTCTGATCTCTCTCTGGTCTCTCTCTGGTCTCTCTCTGGTCTCTCTCTGGGCTCTCTCTGCACGGTCTTTCTCTGGTCTTCTCTGATCTCTCTCTGATCTCTATCTGGTCTTCTCTGGTCTCTCTCTGATCTCTCTCTGATCTCTATCTGGTCTTCTCTGGTCTCTCTCTGGTCTCTCTCTGATCTCTCTCTGATCTCTCTCTGGTCTTCTCTCTTGTCTCTCTCTGATCCCTCTCTGATCTCTCTCTGATCTCTCACTGGTCTCTTGTCTCCCTCTGGTCTCTCTCTGTGGCCGTGTTTACAGCTGGTAATTTTCACATCTGGGGAAAAAGAACAGTTTCAATAGACAAAAATAATAATGTATACTGTTGGATATACTTCTGTGGGTCTGCGTCCAATACTGATTGTTGTTATGGCGTTAATATAGTAGCCACAGTTTTACATACTCACTAATATAAAATTAAAGGGGATGTGTTTAGCTCTGTGATCAAAGGACTAGTATCAGACCCACGAGACGATGGAAAATTAGAATATTGTCGAAAAGTCCATGTCTGTATGTAAATTGAAGTTACGACGTGTGACAAGTATTTTACACCGAATGAGAAATATCTGTTTTTTTCTGAACAATGTGACCCAGAAATGCACAGATCCAGGTTCAATTCCATCTCCAGGCCTTTCGGTGTGGAGTTTGCATGTTCTCCCCGTGTCTGTGTAGGTTTCCTCCAGGCGCTACGGATTCTGTCTCTGTCCTGGTTCTATGATCTGGGATATTTATGGACATTTATTGTTCTTATGGAGCTATGATGTGCTTGATTGTTGTTTTAACTGTTTGATTCTCTGATCTGTTGAGGAATTGACAACTTTGCAAAGTCCTTCGAGACGACTGCTGTTGTGATTAAGGGTCATACGCAAATAAATGTGATGCGAGAGTGATTGAACGAGAGAGAGGGACCAGAGAGAGAGCAAACAGACAGAAAGAGAGACCAGAGAGTGACCAGAGAGAGAAAACAGAGAGAGAGACCAGAGAGAGAGACCAGAGAGAGAGGGAGACCAGAGAGACACAGACCAGGGAAACAAACCAGTGAGACCAGAGAGAGCCCAGAGAGAGAGACAAACACCAGAAAGAGAGACCAAAGAGAGAGAGACAGATAGAGAACAGAGACACAGACCAGAGGAAAAAAAACAGAGAGACCCGAGTGAGTCCAGAGAGAGAGACCAGAGAGAGAAAGAACAGAGAGAGAAACCACAGAGAGAGACACAGAGAGACACAGACCAAAGAGAGACGGACCAGAGAGAGAACAGCGAGAAACCAGAAAGAGATCAGAGAGTGACAATAGAGAAAGACCACAGACTAGAGAGAGAAAGCCCTGGGAGGGACTCTAGAGAGAGATCTGAGAGAGACCAGAGACAAACCAGGAATATACCAGAGAGAGAGAGAGAGAGACAGAGAGAGACAGAGAGAGAGAGAGAGAGAGACCTCTTTGCATCACTCTAGTCCAAACCATCTCTGATCTTAAAAAATATGAATACACTTGAAGCGCACATTAGATGACATCAGCCTCTGTCGCTCTCTCGTCCTGGTGTCGTATCTGTGGATCTACACCATGAGCACTTCCCCTCGTCTTCCCAGGATGCAGTAATTACACCACAGCTGTATCAAAGCGTCATACATAAATAAATAATGTTGTTAATCAGGCCACGCTGTGTTTGAAGTGCTGCACAAAGCAATTAGCTGACGGTGCACCACAGAGAAGGAAATACTGGACCAACTTACTGTACATGTACCAGAGGGAGACCAGAGGGAGACCAGAGGGAGACCAGAGAGAGACCAGAGGGAGACCAGAGGGAGACCAGAGGGAGACCAGAGAGAGACCAAAGAGAGACCAGAGGGAGACCAAAGGGAGACCAGAGGGAGACCAGAGAGAGACCAGAGAGAGACCAGAGGGAGACCAGAGGGAGACCAGAGGGAGACCAGAGAGAGACCAGAGAGAGACCAGAGGGAGACCAGAGGGAGACCAGAGGGAGACCAGAGGGAGACCAGAGAGAGACCAGAGAGAGACCAGAGGGAGACCAGAGGGAGACCAGAGGGAGACCAGAGGGAGACCAGAGGGAGACCAGAGGGAGGACAGAGGGAGACCAGAGGGAGAACAGAGGGAGACCAGAGGGAGATCAGAGAGAGACCAGAGGGAGACCAGAGGGAGACCAGAGGGAGACCAGAAGGAGACCAGAGGGAGACCAGAGGGAGACCAGAGGGAGACCAGAAAGAGAGATCAGAGAGAGATCAGAGAGAGACCAGAGAGAGACCAGAGAGAAACCGGACAGAGTGACCAGTGAGAGAGACCAGTGAGAGAGACCAGAGAGAGACTAGCGAAAGACTAGAGAGACACCAGAGACGGAGACTTGAGGGAGATCTGAGAAAGACCCGAGAGAGACCAAAGTGACCAAAGATAGACCAGAGAGAGGACAGAGAGAGACCAGAGAGAGACCAGAAAAAGCAAAGAGAGAGTAGAGAGAGAGACCTGAGAGAGACCAGAGTTTAATTATGATACAGTATAAGGTTCTCTTGTCTCTACTCTCTGTTGGTTCAATCTTGTATTTGTAGTTCCTGGTCCCTAACATGTATCGCAGTAGGATCCTCAGCCTTGACTTTCTGACCACATTTTGTTCTCAAGGTGATGTTACATTTCTCTGCTAATTCTTCCCAATGTGTTTGATGGTTTAGCAGTGGGACTAGCACGAGTCTTTGTTCTCGCTAATATCTCTCCTCTCTCTGTTCGGCAGCGGTTATTCAGCTCTGTGCTGTATCTGCATGCATGTGACTGAGTGGGAAGGTGCTAGAAGCTGATCCAATCTGCATGCGCCACTCCAATACCCTCGACTCATTCCTCCAACTCCCAGCTCAAACCCAATCTGGTCTCTCTCTGGTCTCTCTCTGGTCTCTCTCTGGTCTCGTCTCTCTCTGGTCTCTCGGTTGTCTCGGTTCTCTTTTTATGGTCTCTCTGGTCTCTCTCTGGTCTCTCTCTGGTCTCTCTCTGGTCTCTCTCTGGTCTCTCGGTTGTCTCGGTTCTCTTTTTATGGTCTCTCTGGTCTCTCTCCCCTCTC